AAAACCGCCAAAACTGGGGGAAGGGCCCTAGAAAAAGACACGCCAAAAGCTCTAGGAGCAACATCCTCATTCCTTCCAATGATTCTTTCTGGAAAACCACTCCAAAACCAAGTGGAGCGGGCTGGTTGAAACCAGCGTTGCTTTGCATCATTGGGAATCAACCCTAGAATCGCTTCTCTTGGCTTTAGTTGGTCAGGGACCACCTTTTTCGCTTGTTTCTTTGCAATGCCACGGCTCTCAGTGATGTTGTGTCATCAACGCTGCGCGCTTGGCGGTGTGTTGCAAGAATGTGGCGGTAAACGTGCCCAGGGGTTTGTCATGTTCAAATCAACAGCATCTTGGGGGATTACATGAGTGTGAGTACCTTTGTTTGGTGGTTTGCAATTAAAACCTACAGGAAAACCACCATTTGGTGGATCCCCTTAAAAATGCGCCCCCTCTTGCATATTACATGTCCTGTAATTCAAAGTAATTACTAGATCATGGTCTGCCTGAAATGTGTTTGCTGCGCTTGCCAAGTGGTGCCAAGCATGAGCAGGCTAAACACATGGTGCCTTTGTTTTAGTGCTCCAGAACGTCTGTGCCTTTGCCGGTGGCAGTACGGAACCCTTCACTCTCAGAGATGTGTTAAGAGTACCTTGAGCCAATCTCATTACCTCTTTCAACGGTGTTGAAACATATCGGGGAACCGGGAATCAGTTCCTATAGTATGTGGAAGTGCTTTCCTCTTGGCTACCCGTCCAATTCCATGCTTGTTGGGGATGCAATTTTCCCAGTTCCGACCTTTTCCCACATGGGTTGCTGTGCGGGGGCAGCGCTTCTGAGCAAGTGCTACGTCTGGCTGAGGAATTGGCTTTGGCGGATGGGAAGGTGGATCCCACTGAGGCACGTGGGGATACGGAAGGTCAGGGGTCTCTGGATTTCCCCTTCAGAAATTGATCAATTTACCGGTGGTGTCCATTGAAACGATCGCCACTTTGGAGGGTCCCTGTAAAGAGAAATGGAGCAGCTTCTGAAGGTGAGTGTAATCATTGGTTTCATTTGGGCTTGCCTTTGCATACCGACCAGCGTGAGCCACGAAGTGAGCGTCAGAGGTTGGTTGGCTCACCTGCAGTTGCTTGGACATCCATCGGCGCCTCGCCCCCTCTTCCTGTGAAGACTCTTTGGTAGTTAGCCGAGTTGTTTTGGCTTCTCAACCTCAAACACTTCCCGCGTAGTATCCTTAGCCATGTGTGTGTGAGCTGTCCTCAACCTAGTGAGACTATTTTGTTTTTGGCAAGTATGGTTAAAGCCATCGTAGTTGTCTAAGTGGGGCTTCCTGGTTACAGTTACGGCTTTTGTTGGGCTTGTGGCTGATATGCCCCTAGCAGGTCATGGAGACAAGCTTGGGGGTAGATCGGAATGCTTGCAATATTTGAAGGGCCTCCCAAGTCCAAGGTCCGAAGTGAGGTCTCCCGACTTCAACGTTTTTTTTGTTTTCCCGATGCTGTTTTGTTTTGTGAAGCCACCCCCCTAGCCAGAAAGCTCAACCCAAAGTTCAACAAGCTGACAAAAGCATCCTGCTCAAGGCGGCTTTTGAACTGCATGCATTCCCCCAACAAGAAGGTTTTCTTTGGAAGCATTTTTTCCAGCAACCCAGCCTGGTTTCCAATGGGATGGTCCCAAATGGGGAGTGAAGCATATCCAACCTCAAACCGCGGAACGTTGCAGAACTGTTCAGGATGTTCATTTGTCTCAAAACGCGGGACCCACCCATTTTGTGTGTGTGTGTGTGTTTGTTTTCTTTTTGGTTTTCCCTATAAGCAACCCCAAGAAGGGTCATACCAGCTGAATGATTCACATCATTTTCCCCGATGCTTTTGGTTTTTTGGCTCGCTCCCTGTAAGCTCCAGACAGCTGGTTTGGTCTGGGATTCCTGTCCACGTACTGTGGATGGACAAAATCCATTTCGCACCAAATGGAAACCATGGGAAACCATTCTTTGTGGGTATTTACAGGAGAACCATCCTTCCAGGGTCTCTGAGGTGGTGCCTAAGAGGATTTCGTCCGTCCGCAGTATGTCCTTTTTGGAGACCGGGGTCGAACTTCCTAGGTGGCGCTCCTGGAAAATTGGAAGTCCCGGCATGGCATCCCCGAGGACGAACTCCTTGCGTCCTGTGAGCGAGTGAAGCCCCAAAACTCCGGGCCAAACGGTTGAGGAAAGCCAGGGACTCCCAGCCAAATATCTAGCCTCGAGGATTTCACCAAACTTATTCGTGAGATGTTTGGTCATCTTTGGCATTTGCAGCGCTTCCCAATTGATCCCTGTATCCAGTCGGGAATCCATCGAGTTGCTCTGAAACTGTGCACTTAAATTCACATGTAGGGAAATACACCGTATATAGGCCAGGCAAAATCAAGACTGAAGGGAGACATGAGGCCCCCTTGGATGCAAAGGCTATAACTGCCCTGCTGGTGAGTTTTGGTAGGCTTCTTGAAATTTGATTTGTTGACTGCTGGCTGCCAACTGAGCACCCCTCCCCCTGGTTTCCTCTAAATGCGGGGCCAGGGGTGGGATGCTATCTTTGGGCCCTCAAGTTCTCACTTAGGTCATTGCGTGGACCTGGTGGGGTGCTATGGGGGCCCTAGGATCCGCGAAAGAAAGTGGGCGGAAACCACCGGAAATCAGCTTCCATTGGTTTCCCCCCCAAAAAAAAAACGCGAGCTTGGTGACATCTGCTTGGCGAGCAAACTGAAGAGAATCGCATTGCGTACATGTCCCGTGGGTTCGACAGGATGTTGAACGGGGACTGGCAAGGAACCCGTCGCGCAAGCCGTCTCTTACCCTTGCTTTCAGGTCCGTTTCACCTGTAGGAGTCGGAGTTCCCTTTTTCGCTGAAGGGCCCTGAACAAACCCCCCCACAAGAATACTTAGAGGGCTCACCCCATGTTCAAACACACACACACCCAAACATGTAAGATGTACCTCTTTTTTTGGTTAGCTCAGCCCGTCACCAGAATTTCAACCACCTTCAGTGGTCCCCAAGGGGTTGCAGGGGTGAAGGCAGATGGCACAAGTCCAACTCATGCTGGTTGAGTCGTCTTTAGTTCCCCACATCTTGAATTCTTTCCATCTACCCGTGGCCACCGGAGGTCTGGTCTGAATATGGACCAGAATCAACAAACAAGTTGAGCCCAGGAGGATGACGGCACAATTCCAACTTATGCTGGTTGAGTGGTCTTTAGTTCCCCTCATCTACTTGGCATTGCTTCCAACATTGGCCACAGTCGTCTTTTACCACATCTAGGAGTCTTTCCTGTTTCCTTGATTTTTGGGAGTCTGGTCTGAATATGGAGAATCAACAGACAAGCCCAGCCTGGAATTGCTTCCACCATTGGCAGGAGGATCACCAGATCAAGCTGGCAGAGCTGGGCTGGACCCCCGAGGAGTTCGCGAACGGGCGGCGCAGCGCAACTCGCCGCGCTCCGCCGCTGCCCAGCTACAGGTCCTGCTGCTCACCGACCACTGCGTGAGAAAAAGCGAGCTGGCGCCGCTCGGGCGGCCTGGGATGGTCAGCCCAAGTCACTATGTGAATTGGATCAAGGAACATGTAGAGAATTAGATGGATACATGTTGTATGTGTATGTTGTTGAAAAGGGCAACACAACTTTGTTTACAACCATGGGAGCGGACAGAGGGATGTCCCGTATACGCACGAGAAAAGTATAATTTCCAAAACCCTCCAACCATCAGCTTGCATGCTTGTAGGGAGGGTATCACGGTGGACGTCCTGGTAGGGTAGCACCAGGCCACCTGGGTTAAGTAGAATACTGTGGGTGGCCGAAGTGCATTTCGCACCACCTAAGAAGCCACTGGTTGAAACCAACACTTTTGTGCGTTGCTATTTACGCTGGGGAATCGAGTCATAGGGTTTCTTAGCCATCCACAGTAGGTACCCAAAGTGCAGCCTTGGTAATTCTTCTGGAGACCCCCGAAAGAGAGAGGAATCCCCCAAAAGCAGATATAACTTCCTTACAAGGGGAACCTCCCCAGTCCGTCCATCAAAGAGTAACCCCCTTTTCCAAAACTGAGGCGGCCAAAAGCCACGGTGTGATCTCGGTTGCCAGGAAGGGCGCGCCAGCAGCACCCGCTGCGACTCCTGCGCCCTGCAAAAGCCTCGGAACGTCCACGGACGGAGGTTTTGGTTATCCTCAGAGTCAGACTTGAAGGGGCATTTTACATGGCAAGTGAGTAGCAGGCATGGTTACCCATTTACCCTGGTTATAAGTCTTCCTTACTAACCACTTACTAAGTACCCTGCCCCTTTAAGTACCTCAAAGTTTTGGACCTGCATTGGAAGGTTATCTCAAACTGGCAAAGACATGAGATCTTAAACCTTCCAGCGGAGGTCAGGACCTCTGCAGTGGAGGGTGCAATGATACCTTCATCGGAAGGGATTGGTGCTTTTGGTCAAGTGTTATTTTCAAACTGCCGCTAGTCATCTATGAATTGGAAGGTTTGGGATCTCAAATTGCAACATATTGAGGTCCCAAGGCTTCCAAAGGTCACGTCTTGAGTGTCCAGTGCGGGCGACCCAAAGAAATCAAGCCCCTGACTTTTTGTCTCTGTGAGCCAATCTCGGAGTTGAATGAATCGGAAGGGGATGGATCGCAGAGGAAACCACCAGTTGGTTCATAGGGATCTTACGTTAATTTGATAGCCATGGTCCGAAAGACTACAGGTTTCCGGTGCCCCCCGTGAGCCAATTTCTATTCAGACAGATGAAGCTCATGGGAGACACTGCCCTTGAAAGCTACCCTTTTGACTATCCATGGATTTGGATTGGTCAATTCTTGAATTCGGCCGGTCCTATCTCCCTTTCCTTTCGTACCCTTCATCCTGCCTTGTTCATGAGATAGAGGCAGGAGGGAGACGCAAGGAGATAGGGAAATGAGCAGCTATTAATCAGGACTGTCTCTCGCTGGTTCGAAGAATCCCAAGAGATGGGAATGGCCGCTCATCCTTCACTCTCTCCGCCGTCTGCTTCATCCATGAGATTCTACGTGAGAGGGCGTAGAGGTAGACATGTAGGGCGGGATTTAGCAGGCTTTTGCAGCTGTCAAGATCACCCAGTTCAGTGGCACCAATAATTTTCCCCCTTGGTGGGATCTCCTATGGCCAACCCCAAAAAGGAGTAATCCCCTGGTTTGCACCCTTCGGGTCACTGGTTGCAACTCAGGGGCCGTTGGCAAAGCGGAGCGTCCCAGCAGGGAACCCCAGAGCGTCGCTTTGATCGATGGCACAGGTCAAACTTGTCAAATCCGTTTGGGAGGGACCTCCGGGGGTCGGGACACCGCAGTTGTTCCGACATTCACAAATATATTTTTCCCAGAAGCACCAGGAGACTTGCGGAAGAAGACATCCCCAAATGCTTTTGGGGAACCGCATTTGTGAAACCATGGGTCGTGCAGCCAGCTGATTTGTCGTTAGTTAGAAGCCTCCCTAGTACTGTTGTTTTTTGGAAATGGTCCCAACCAAGCACTCCTGCTAGGCAGCCTTTGCGTACCGCGTCTTATGCTCCTGGCTCCTTTGGTGCTAGCGTTTGTTTGTTGCCAGACTTTGGGTTGATTCCAAGGCTGGCCTGTTGTGATTGATGTGCATGCAGAGAGTTTTGAGATGTGTTGAGTGGAGTGTAGGAGTCAACCATCAACTCTGCGTGCAAATTGCGATGTTGAACTCCCTTCTTCAAGGCAAGGGTCGCCTGTAAGACTCCACTCAATTGACCCTTTCTTCATACGTGTTGTGTTGGGCGGTGGCTCGCTGTTTTGTTGGGTGGTATGTTTATGTTTGCTGCCTTCGTAGAGACTTGAGCAGGGGGGAAAAGCTACGGGGAGCCAGTTTTGCCAAGGCATGTAAAGAGTTGCTTTATTCCAGGCGAGCTGCCCATAGGCATACTGTGGATTCCTACACCTCCTAAGAAAACCATGGAAACCACAACGTTTGTTGGTATTAGGGGAATCCTCATAGGGTTTCTGACCGGTGGTGCGAGACTCATGGATTTTGCAACCTTCCACAGTGAGGTTCAACCTTTGGTGGTAGCATTTTTCCGGTGATGAGCCCCACTTCTGGTCGTGCCGTGTGTTCATACTGTGGATGGTTTTGAATCCCAGAAATCGCACCACGAAATGAAACCACGGTTGAAACCATAACGTTTGTTAGTATTTACAGGATAATCATCATTGTGGGGTTTCTTAGGTGGTGCAGGATTTGGTCCATCCACAGTAGCAAGGAGACAGCCTTAAAGAATAGTCATGATTGATTGGCGGTTGGGGGTTGCCATTGTGGCATAAGGGGGACGCCACTTTTGTGACCTCCAACGATTCAGGGATTTGTAGAAGCTGTTTCTTCATTTGAGCGTACTAGCATGGGGGACACAAATTCAATTCCAGCTGGGCTCCCTGTGCTTCCCGACAGTTTTTTTTGCAATGCGTTGCTTTTTTGGGAGGAGGTTTTTAGGCTGCCTAGGCAGCACTAATCATATGGCCTATGTCCCTCCGTTTTTTTCTTGCTGAGCTTTGGAAGGTTCACTAGGACTTTAGTTGGGACTATGGAGATTCTTCTTCTTGTCTCACCTAGCAAAGTTTCAAGGCCGCCCCCTTTTTTTCGGGGGGCGGGGTTGCCTTTTTTTTTGGGGGGGGGGGCAGGGTTGCCTTTTTTTTTGGGTGGGGGGGGGGGGTTGGGTTGTCTTTTTTTTGGGGGGGGGGGGTTGGGTGGGACATCTGGGGAACGGGTTTTGCTCAGCTTCCCTTTTTTTTCACCCTCGAGGCTGGGAGAAGGGCGGCCGTATCCGGGGCGAGGAGTGGCCGCAATGGCCCCAGGCTCGTCCGGTGGGTTCGCGCGTGGGGTCTTACAAGGGTTCCCAAGAGAGAAAGTTTGAAGTTGACTTGGGTATGGGTCAAAATTAAACCGCCAGGGAACCGCAGGTTTTAGTCCATGTTTCCATTTACCAGGATTCTATATTGGGTACCTATTTTTGACCCACACCCACTTGGAGGAGGTTCGAACGTCTTCTTTGCGTGGGCGGTGGGACCGCAAGCGTGTACCACTGACCATCAGGCCCCCTGTTTCAACGAGAAGCTGCGTCACAACGAGCCACCTAGCACCTGGTGCGCAGGACAGTTGTCTTGGCTGATCCATAGGCTTCGATATTCTCGGACTGAGGACATCTTGGAAACACGACTGGAGGCAGATGCATTTGTTTGGCCAATCTCCACTGGTGAAACCCAACCGAATGGAAACCATCATTAATGGGTGTATACTATAAGATTTGTGTCCGCTCGTTGGTTTCCTTGTGGATTCCTGTTACTGTAAACCCATCCAAACGGGGCTTCGTCAGTCATAGACTCACTCTATGGGCGTGTAATTTTGTAGGATACTTCCTTTTAGCTTGCTTGAAAGAGAGGTTCCCAAAGGGAAGCCAGCCATTTTGCGGGTTCCAGAGCTGATGTAGAGACGCATTCAAATGGCTGTGGGTCAACACCAATGGTACCATTTTGGGATAGGTGCACCACCCATCTTAGTCAATTTTAGTGGGGATTGGGATGTTCACTGGGGGGGAAACCAGGGTTTTGACCCATGGCCAAATCCAGAAGAACCTGTGATCCCAACCTATCCCATTTCCAGCCAGGCCGCGCCGGCCAGGACTGGCAAAGGCGCGCATGGAAGCGAAGCTGATGGAGCAAATCCATTTCCCACCGTTCAGAACCCCTGGAATGATGAGTTACCTGTAAATACCAACAGCAATGGTTTCCTATGGTTTCAAAGTGGCGCACCAGTTGGCATTGCAGGTGGTGTCTCCCGTTCTTTTGTAGCGCTTCATCTATCCCAAGTGGTGCGAAATGGATTTGGTCCAGCCACAGTACTTTCGAGGATGGCCTTTTGGGGGTAGGATGTTTTGTTTGGGGATGTTTGGGGGGTTGTATGGGTATGGACCTGTAGGTTCGGTGCTCATCATGAGGATTTCCGTTGTTTTGTTCCCAAGCCCTCATCTGGCAGCCACGTAGCGTGTGTGCAAACTATTCCTTGTGCTAGGTGGAGTGAGTTGCCTTGCTGTGTCCAGCACGGGTCAAAAGCCCGTACCCCCAGTGAACATCCCAATCCCTACTAAAATTGACCAAAATGTGTGGTGCACCTACCCCAAAATGGCACCATTGGTTTTGACCGGTAGGCCAACTATGAGACAATATTTGAACATATGTCTTTCCGTGTACCCCAGTTGTGGGCCGAGATTGCCGTCCCTATGTTGAAGAACGGGATAGTAACGAACCGGTGCAGGGGTACAGCGAGACATGTTCCATGAAGGGCCCTGAGGGGATTCCTGTTTCGTATTCTTGCTTGTAAATGCTATTATTTTGGCAGACTTTGTCAAGGAATTCAGAAAGTGACCAAATTTCCTGGGCGCAGGTGACCGGAGTCCCAATTGAATGCACATCAAAAGCAGGGGAAATGATTGGCCAAAAGCTGCGTGAAAAAATCAATTGCATGGTCGTGAGTAGTTTGCATCTATAAACTGTTGACTGGAATGATTTATAGGCAGCTCTGCTAGTTTCTGCGAGGTCTTTGTTTCATACAGAAGGGCAATGCTAATAGTATGGGATTTCCACTCTGTGCTATGCTTCAGTGGAAAGCCGACAATGTCAGAAGGGCAAGGCAATCCTGAATCCCGCAAGCAAAGGTTGAGATTGAGGATTTCCAAGCACAAGCCTGAATTCTGTGTTGACATTTAAATTGTGCCAGTCAAAGGAAGGTGCTTGCAGTTCAAGTGATCAGGGGGTTGTTCTCAAAGGTAGTACCAGCTGGCGTTTCCATCATCCCGGAAATGACACTTATCGTTTTAGAATTATTTGTTGATATTGGTTGGTTGGTTCGTTGGCTGGCTGGCTGGCTGGCTGGGTGGCTGGCTGTGGTTGGTTGGTTGGTTGGTTGGTTGGTTGGTTGGTTGGTTGGTTGGTTGGTTGGTTGGTTGGTTGGTTGGTTGGCTGGTTCGCTTTTTGGTTGCTTGGTTGGTTGGCTGTCTGGTTGGCTGGCTGTCTGGTTGGCTGGCTGGTTGGTTGGTCGGTTTGCTTGTTGGTCTTGCCCCTGCTATTGGAAGGCCTGTACTCCCGCTTGTATATACGCCACTGCCAACATGAGTGCTATTTCACGGTCGTTTTGGCCAGGACATGGGAGACGTGCACCCCACATCTCCCCAAAAAATATCAGGGGCACGCCTTTTTTGCCCCTACACCCAGAAGCGAATATCGGCATGTGGAGCGCGCCAGGTTGGGGCAATGAGAAGGGACAGTCCGGAGGAGGCCTGCCAATGGGTCTCCGATCCCAATGCCGTTTTTTTGTGCGCAGCTTCTTGTTTTTAGTGCTTTATTTTAATATATACATATATGTATATATACATATTTATATATATATATATAGATATACAGTGGATGTTTACGAAGTCCGTTTCGCGCCACCTAAGAAACAATGAAATGATTCGCTTCCCCTGTAAACGCCAACCAACATCATGGTTTCCCGTGGTTTCCACGTGGTGCAGGATTTTGTCCACCCACCGTAGCGTTGACTAAATACGGAACAGGGTCAGAAACAAAAATGTATGGGAGTGCCCGAGATGTGGGCCGAGGTGTGTTTTGCTTTTGCGTTGTCCAGGCCTCCAGTTTGACAATCAGTGCAGGGTGCCAGTGGATGTTTGACAAGTTTTGGCCTGTGGCTGACCCTGCGAGTCAAACCATCTTGGTCTAAACCATCCAGATCTTTGACCCAGGATGGTACGCAAGCCGCAATAAAACCACCTGGGTAAGATGCATGTCCATAGGGGACGGTCCGAAAGATGAACAAACGGAACGGTAGGAGTACTTAAAGCGGTAGTTGAGCGTTACCGCGAAGCGTGCAGCCGCCATTGTTATTAAATATATTTGCGTGGTTGATTGGTTGACCCCTTAAAAATCAGATGTTTATTAATGTGTTTCATACTTCTTTAGCGGGCCCCAAAGCATTCGAGAGACAGAGATGCAGGAGGTAAATGTTTTTCTTTATTCGCCCCTTCAGGTGTGTGCTTTGCAGCCAGGTCTGTTGAGCGCCTACCGATAATGTTCGCTCAAAGCGCAGTTGAGGGATGGGAAGAGAAGCACCGCTTGAAGACCCATGAAGTTCTGACACTTTGTGGGCTTCACTCGTTCTTGCTTGTGAATCATTTTGCTTACCTATAGCGCTGCACAAGACAGACAGCTACCTTTTTCCACAATCCCACATGAAATGTTTGTTGACCAAGTCTGCACGACCTCTCTTTTTTGAGTATGGGGATGCCTGGGTGAAGACTTGTACATTGTCTTGTTCGCGTTTCTCCGTGGCTTGCGTCAAGCTGTGAAGTGGGTTTGTCTCAAACAGGAACCGGAAGCCCCAAAATGGCTGCTTTCCTTTGTTGCCCAAGGGCACCCTCGAAAAAAGACACTTAACTCAAGTTTCTGTGATTTCTGTGCCGGGCCGGCCACAGAGTTGACCCTGAGCCCTGCACGCCTTCGCGGTCTTCAGACAGGCTACGGCAGTGGATACAGCGGCTGGGGCGGCTATGGCGGTGGCTACGGTGGCAGCTACTCGGGCTACGGCGGTGGCTCCTTGGAGACGAGTAGCGCGATTGGTTTGCAAACCACCCAAATATGCGGAAGCTTCAAATGGATCCAATCCTGATCAGTTCTGCCATTTTGACGAACTCCTGGATACGGTATGGCCCAACTTGCTCATAGATCACTTCAGAATGACCTGCACGAATTCTCTTCGAATTACCAGAGCATTGCGAATAGGGAATCTTGATATGCACAAGCTGGTACACTAGGACTTACTGACCGGGTGAGCGCAGTCCGGATACAACTCCCATTGGCCAGCGGAGGTTGGGCAATTTCCTTCGGTTGATTTCTCCCAGATTGATATTCTTCGCTTAACTGCATAACTTAGTTTGACAGTGACTCGTCATATACAGGCTGTTTGCTTTGTTCAGTAAGATAGCTTCAGCAGTTGGCCAGATCATTAAGCTGGTTCAGACATGATGGACGCTCAAGAACACACCACCTCACCACAGCCTTGAGCAGGGGCGATATCTGGGCTTTTGGCAGTGCTTCTTTGCTCTGGGCAAAAGTATTGGCCGCAGCTTTAGCTATTCACCGTTTTTTTGTTTGGTGTGTGTGTGTGCGTGTGAATGGTTTGATTGTTAGGTGGCGAGGGATGTGTTGAATTGGGAGGGGGGGGAGGTGGGTTCTGGCTTGCATTATCAGCCAATCCCAGTGCCAAGGCTTCGAAGTGATGGAACATCAGGTTTGAACATCTTAGAACAGTAGTTACTCAAGGCATGTCTTAGCCACAGTCAAACAAGTGAGATTTAAGTGAAAGTTAGTAGAGGACAGTTCCAGGGATGAATAATGTAAGTGTGGCCGCCCTTCTGCTCTACATGTGTTTTGGAAGGCCAATTTGATACCTTGTTCTTTCTTTTTCAGTGGCACCTTTGTTCCTTTGGGTTGGGTGGCTTGAGGTCACCGAGCAGTTGGGACCAGGCTTGAAGTACGGCTCACGATTCGGTCTCTCTGCATTTTGCGCAGCTAAGGCTACGGCTATGGTCAGGCCCGCCCAGTTCTCAGCAGTGAGTGGCTATAGGTTGATCCGGAATTGAGGATTGTATCAGTGGAATATGTTAAAGTTGTTTGGATTTTGTTTGTGTTTGTTTTGGAAGGACGTTTTTGAGAAATATGTTCAAGTGGTCGCTTCCAATGCCTTGAGTCGTTGGCGTATGTTGCATTCTCACTCGAACATGTTTGCTGAAAGAGCCGTAACTGCTGCAGACAGACCACCGCATTTGACAGCCAAGATGGCTGAAGATGATTCTGGAGATGAATCTGAAGGTGAATCCGAAGATGAAGAGAAGGAGTATGACTTGTGGAATGACAACATTTCTTTGACTTCTTGATCGATGCGAACATCCGCCTGGTGCGCTCTGAATACTTGAAGCCACCTTGCCAAAGAGAAGCTGCTGTGGTCGCGGCGACAGGAAGCAGAACATGAGATCTTCCAGGATGAAGATGGGTCGGTGACGACGGCCTTAGTGACACTTGAGGAGTACAACAATGCGCGCTTTTACTCAAGAACACCAACAGTTTTCTCAGCATCACACTGTTGGAAGGCCAAGCAGCACCCGGATCCTTTTTGATTCCAGGCTCGAGAATTGCTACCAATGGTTGAGGGCCACTGCTTGGTCTTCCTGAACTTCACATGCTTGCCTCAGTACTTCCGAACCCCGCAGGAACAAGTCTTCTTCAAGCGGGCCATGTTGTCAATGCATGTGCTTTATGCTCATGAGAGCGTGTCGAGAGTTGTTCGTCCGGAGCACCTTGCAGACGAAAGTGCAAAAATATTCCCCTCAGCCTTCGTCGATATTTGATATTACAAGGGTTCCAGTGCGGAGCCAGGTTCCGACAAGTTTGGGCCTTAGCCGTTCCACAAGTTGGAACTGAATGTCACTCCGTACCAGGAACGAGGGTGGTGTGAGGATGAGAAGCAGTGCATGAGCACCCAAAGTACCATCAAAGGCTTTGCCCCTATGACACCTGCCAGATTCCGAAAGCGTGTGAAGCGTGGACACCAGAACTTGCCAAATGGTCTTTCGCTGAAGTTGTACGCATTGTTCAGACGAAGAGATTGTGGTGAATTTGCAAGAGAAGATGTTCTTGCAACGTGCCTCAGAGCGCAACATATTTGATTGCAGTCGAACTGCCCGAAGCAGAGCTGTTTCTTCTTGCAGAGTCCTTGCCGCACTTCGTCAACTTGTATTGCCTTGGTTTGAAAAGCAGACTGCCGCGTAAACGAGAGAGCCTCGAGGGTTTTGGCCAATGGCCTCTTGGAATGCCAATCCATCATAGATGTCGAAGTAACTGTCCTGGAGCACCAACCTCTGGTGAAGGAGCTACGGCTTTGAAGCGAACGGGAAGAGTGCATGAATCCGATCGTGTATCCGAAGGCAATGAGGATGAGGCCGTACTATGTTTTGCCATCAAAGCTTGGCGATATGGATGGCTTGGGCGGCATCTTGCAAAGCTCAGCACATGCTGCGCCCAGACATGCGGTGACCCTTGACAATGCACATGTTTGATATGCGGCGTCAGCTGCAGCTGACAATGTATACAGCTGCTGGAGATCAGACCTAGGACGCTGGCTGAAATGGTCAAACTATGCCAAGCTCCAAATCAACCAGGCTCAAACCACAACATGTTTTTTACACAGCAGTATCTTTGGTCACTGACTTCAGACTGGCAGCGTGAGGTCCTACTGTGGGTGGACACAACGTCGTATCAGTTAGGCGATTTATCCCGTTCATGGAGTTTCATCTATCCCATGCCAGGATGTTGGTCCCACAGGATGTTGTCAGACCTGCGGATGCCCCAAGTATTGCAAGGGTAGTTTAACTATCTTGCTGGTGCTTGGTAGGGAATTCGGGAATGAACCTGGGGGTCCTCTTAAGCAAACCAAATCGGGGATGGTTCGGGGTCCTTCCATTTAAATCAAAGTTTAACCACCAACAGGGGGACAAATAGAGAAAACCAAGTGAGACACCCCACCAAATACCACCAAAAAGGGCGACAAGCAGAGAACTTCAGAGAGAAGCCTAGCAGCTCCGCATTAAGGCCGCCCGGTGGTGCTGGCGTGCCTCCTGTGTTCAACCACAAAACCCTGATAAAGGTGATTGGTTCATCCAGCTGAGGCCAAGGGGGGTACCAAAAAGCAGAGGGCAAGGGCAAGGCCAGGATCGATCCGCGACGACTCGGAGCCTTTGCTTCGGGACAGGTGACGAGACAAAACTGGGGGCATCGGGTTTCAGAAGGCCTTTGCATATGTTTGTTGTCGTTTTGTTTGTCGGGGGAAATCTATTTGTTGTTGTAATTATTGTAGTGCATTGGTTTGTTTTGTTTCTTGAGCTGGGGGAATGAGTTGCTCAGGGTATGCTATCTGTTCTTGTAGTGATGTCGGGCATTCATGTCCACCTAATCATTCTGAGATGTTTGAAGGCCACGGCACTTTCTAAATACGCAACTCTTAGCGAGTGTCAGGGTCAACATGATGGACGCAGGCTTATTGCGGGAGGGCCAACCATGTTGAATATGGCTTGTTTACTTGAATATACACACTTGTGTCAGGTTTGAGATTGGAGTAAAAGGTTCGAAGCTATTAGTGTTTGAGCTTGAATGGCATGGTCAGGACATTTGACTTCTTCAGCATTGGTGTTCGGATACTACAACATCGGGCTGTTTTGCAATCGCTTGTTGTTAGAGTTGTATTGTTCTGCAGGCCATACAGCTTGCTACGTCGCTTGCGAATCAGCCAAACAAGTCTCAATCCTGCATGTTTGTCACCTCACGAGCAAACTGCAGGTCGACTTTTTGGGGCAACGTTTGTTACCATCTTTCATCTTTGCCCTTGATTGACAGACAATATCCAAAACCTAGGCTACGGGTGAAGATTGACCAAATAGGCCCCGTTTGAATTCGCCTGGTGAACAACTTTGGCAGAAGACTGCTCAAGCTGTGGGATCCCCTTGCTGCACCGTGATTAGCTTTACCTTGGAGCAGATACAGCTCGGGCTGCTTGTTTGCATGAGCTGTTGATATTTGCGGCGACTGCAGCTCAGCATGACTCAAGCTGGACGTTGGGTGGATGGTCGGCTCTCCCATTCACACATGCCTGTGCCAGTCGTAGACCATGATTTTGAAGTTTGTTCAGCCGTTCCTTTGCCACGATTGAAAGGCGGCGGTGGGAGTCATGTCGATGTTTTTTGGTCCCGACAGCGACGTGCGGATGTTGCCAGGGAAAGGGGAAGTATGAAAGAGATAGAGGTGGGAAGGGGGCCGTGCGCTCAGTTGCCTTCCGACTTGCCAGGGAGTCAGCAGCGCGCTAGGCAGGTGCTTGCGCTTCAGACCTTTCACGGAGTCCCCAACTGGGCGACCTAAATGCCGCCAACTCGACAACCTGCAAGGGTTCCGTTTTATGTTATTCTAAGGTACGGAGAGCAGCGAAAGTGCAGCGAACACTTGAGGTTGGTTGGAGGAGTTTCAAGAGAGTCGCCACCATGGCACAGGAAAAGACATCCCTTCCTCATCTCACGCCCGTCATTGACGGCACTGTGTAAAGGTGGCTGCTTCAACACTGCCAGCGCTTTGTACAGAGCATATTTTAAATGCATGCTGAACACGTATCAATGAACCTACATTCGACTTGTCTGAAACCAAACCGTCCAACTGTTTGGACTGTAATTTGCTTGCGTGTGGCTCGAAATTAAACAGCTGGGGTTGCGCCGGTGTTAGTCTTTGTTTCCATACACCAAGGTGCCATGTTGGGTACTTGCTTTTAGACACGGCCAGTGTTGTCTTTAATTGGTAGTGTTTGGAACCAAACTAAAGGTTGAACCTTTCAAACCCCTGATTTGAACCAGACGTCGTTTTGCTGATGTAGGAAGCTTGCTTCGTCGAAGCTCATGAAGCTTTGGAGGCCCTCAGGCGAAGTTGCATAGACAGCAGAGACGCGATGGGTTGTGAGACATGCTGCGTGGGTTTGCCTTCTCAGGCCATCAACAACAGTCTTGTATATTAAGATATATATATATATATATATTTTTGTTCAAGACCTCTTTTTGGGTATGTGCTATTGTGTTGTGAGAGGTCTGACACGCTCCGCCTTTGGCTGTGTGCGGTACGTCGCTGCGCCCAGGGAAAGTTCGGAAAAGATGGAAAAGGCTGGGCATTGGCAGCATGGTAGTCCAGTCGCGGCAGGGTTTGCTATTCGAAAGCAGGCGCTGTCCAATTTAAGGACTTGAAGCACACTTCACACTCTTTGGCTAGAACATATGTTTGACAGTTGACCCCGAGTCTAGGATCAGACGCCAGAGCGCTTTTGCCCCAGAATGCTGAACTGCAGACATGGCTGCAAGGTCTGAGCGAACGGATTTGGGGTGCCCAGAATGTAAAATATAGGCATAGGCCATGCCAGTTCGAGAAATGCTGCAGAATGTGGCAGCACATCTTGACGCTTTTGTTGCTCGGTTGTTTGTAGGGAGTTGAGTTTGATTGGTGCAAACGCTGACCAATGGGCTGACTTTTGTGTAATTGCTATGCGCACTTTGAATGTTTTGCTAGGTTATATATTGTGTGCGTGATCTATTGTGTGCGTAGTTTATTTTGATCAGAATAGCTGTATGCTGCACTGATCTCTGAACACATTTGAGCCATAATCAAAGCTCGGGTAGACGAAGGTTAGTAAGGGAGAATCCCAACCAACGGCTGCGGCCTCGTTTATTATTGAAGCATGATCCTGGGTAGACCATTCTAATACCGATTGGTTTTGATTATGACTTTGTTTAGTTTGCAGTTGGTTGAAATGTCATTGCCGTGTCACAGGAGGTGTTGGCCAAGCCACAAAGGGAGATCTGCGTCGGGTGGGTTCACAGTGAGAACTTCAGGCAGATAACCATGCACGGTGCAAAACAGAATGGACAATACTGTGATTGGACCAAATCCTCTTCGCATCAGTTATGGATAGACAACAGCATAAATACAATGGCATACTAAACACGTACCGGATCGTACCGGTTGGTGCAAGTTCATGGTGTATGCACAGTATGAGGGGTTCGAAACATCAAGTACCAGCAAGTTGCTTCTGTGATGACGGCTTGATTTCATGTTTTTAAGTACCCCACAACCCTAGTCTTAGCAGTAGCCACGGGTACGCAAGGGTAAGTGGTTTATCCACTGGAATCGGATGACTTCTCTTGGAACATCTCCGCGCAGGCTTCGGAAAGAAGGCGTGGCCAGCACGACTCTGCAGAAGTCGTGTCCGAATACATCTGCAAATGGACTTGTTATGCGCCGTAGTTTGAAAGGACGCTTGCTGGGTGAAGAGCGAAGGGAGGTTCACTGATGTAGTATATTTGGTGTCCAAGGGGCCTTAGAGACTTGTTTGACTAAGCATGAAACAAGTGCCTTCTTACCCCTACAACTGTTTCCATTCAAACTACAATGTTCATTCCGAATTATTCTGGCGATGTAGAAGCATTTTTGTTGGTTGTGTTTTGACGTGCGAGTTGGGAGAAAGGCATTGGATGCTGTTCACCACATAGCCTTTAGGGCATGTGATTCGGGCATTACGTTTCTGCTTAGGGCGGACACAATCATGTAAGCGGCCAAACATGCTCGAGCACGGGGCGAATTCATTCGGCATGTTGTCCCATTCTCATATTAGGTGCGGAAATATATTTGTGGCCATTTTCCGGGGTCTCCTCCGAGGCTATTTTATATCTTAGGATAGGCTCAATTTGAAGCAGAGTATCGGAGCATCTTATTTTTGGAGTGCCCCAAATGTGGGCCAGGAGTTGAAGATGGTACGCCAAGCCCTTTCTTCCGGGTGCCGTTCTCCCACGGCTGGGAGTTGCCTGTGAATCTTCAAGGGGGAAGACAGCTGATCAGTCTGGGGTCATGATCTATGGGTGGCCCTAAATCGGATATGGAGCCTAAAGTGGGTGGACTCCTTTGGGTGAGCCTTCAACGCCAATAAAGAGAAGGGTCGGACATGTGCACTCTGATTGCCATGCCGTTAAAAAAAAAAAAAAAACAAAAAAAAAAAAAAAAAAAAAAACGATTTTACACGGCCCCTTTTGAGTTCTAGTCATCAAGTTCTTGACGTTGAGTTCTAGCTCTCTTTGTCTCATGGCACCTGCGTGGCTGCAGTTTGGTGACTTTGGGAGGTGAGACATGGCCACAGGTTGGATGGTCAGCAACGTATCTCATACTTATCTTTTGACGTAGACCAAGGCTCGCCAAAGCATTCCCGGAAGGGTGAAATTCAGGGCAAAGCATTCCTTGGATGTAATTCAGGCCAATGTTGGCAAATGTAAGAAGGGCGTGAATGTAGACAATGTCCTGAAGGGATTGTGAATGTTGGCGATCCGCTCTACCCCTCTCTTCGCTTTCGGCCGGTGCCGTGTTGGCGCCTGTTCAAAAAGCAACCTCCATTTGGAACCGCCCCATTTGGGTTTGCAAAAGGGTGGGTTCCCTAACCCAAGTCACCCAGCCAAACAAATCTATCCTAAAAAAGAACAACACACATGTTTGGGTGTGTCTTTTTCGAAGGCTACCTCTTTTTTTCTGGTTTAGGGAAACCACAGTTGCACACTGAAGCACATCCAGGGCGCCCGCCACGATGGCGCCCCCGCCGGGGAGCTAAGTTACATCCGACGACGCCAACTGGACGGGTTGGTTGGAGTGAGAGGTGGATGGTTCTCATGGACCATTTGGGTGTGGCTCAAAACTCAAGAGCTCGGGTTACGCGGGTTTTAGTCTCTGGTTCTATTTACCAAGGTGCCATTTTGATACGTCTTTTTGAGCCACTGCCATTCGGGTCTGCGGTTTGAGCATATTGTTTTGGAGATGGGTTAGGACACCAAAAGGAAACCGCCCATTTTGGCTGGTTTCTGGTTTTTGTGGCTCGGGTTCCGAGCCATGTCCCTTTAAAGGGAGCCTTCAATCGTGGTGATCGTTTCAATGGAAAGCGCCGATAAATTGAACTTTTGAAGGGGACAATCTAGTGAGCCCTGTTTGAGGGCGCACCTTGTGGGATTGGTGTAGGAGACTAAAAGGACACCAGACCTGTTTTGGGGATTACCCCGCTTTGGAGACATACCCATATCAAGACATGGGTGTGTGTCTTTGGAGATCAACAAATGTATGGAAGGCAGGGTGTCCCCTGGAGCTACTTAGGACATGGGTCGGTGTGGCAACCAACTTCTTGAAGGGTTGACATGGTGAGAACAAGCGCTTCCACTTCTCGGACAGGGTTCCGAGTTCCGAATCCCAGCATGTTGGCGGGTATGTCGTCTAATCAGGGTTACTCCCCCTTTTGGATGGTGTGGAGAGTGAACATGTTCCATCTAGGTGTTTTAAACTTTGAGCAACACAGATTCAATTGCCGGTGATGCCGAGTTTCAGGGACATGCTTTGTCACTTTGGGCCAATCCACGCCCGAGATCGACATGTGTGTCATACTGACATGGAAAACTTGCTGGTGCTCAGTAGGGACTGACCCAGGGTGTTGGGAATGAATCTAGGGATGCCTTATAATAAAGCGGTAATGCTGAGGACCGGCAAGGAATCCTACTGTGGATGGTTGCAAAATTCAGAAATCGCACCACCGTTCAGAAACCCAAGGGAGTGATTCAATTCCCCAGCAACTACCTATGGTCTCCCATGGCTTTAAAGCTGTGCAGGATTTATTCCATACACAGTATCATGTTTTAGGGTGCCCTACTACTTGTGCCTTTTGATATTCGTGATCCAACGTGTTTCTGTGCAGCTTCTGTTGCTGGAGATCCTGTTTCCAATTTGGTCAGTGTTTGGAAGATGTGTAGATAATTATACTTTCAAAGCTTTCATGTTTGCTATACCCAGGGTCTACTCGGAAGCTCCACACCAATGTTCCTCAGGGGGCCATAAACAGGTTCTAATGAACGGGTGCCAGCTTGCACCAAAAGACAATCATGTGTCTAGCATCCTACCCATTTGGGTGTTAACCAAAAGGGTCCTTACGACGCGGAATGACCATTAGGGAAAACCACTAAAAAATACTCATGGTTTGGGGGCCAGAAACATTGATCAACCCCCATTTGTTACAACCCATTTATGAACCTGTTGGCTCAGTTTGCCGAGGCCGGATCTGCCAGGGATCCACGTTGCAAGTGTATCAGTGTGGGTGTTGCATTTTTTAGGGGACTCCTCAAATGGTGGTTTTCCTCTTGATTTCCGTTAACAAACAACCAAAAGAAAGCACCACCAAAACAGATGCACCCATGTGGAATTTCGTCGATATTCTGTTCTCACTTTGCTTTGTTGCAGCTGACATGTCGGAAGCTATCCGAGGGATGAACCAGACGCTAATGAGGTTAATGGCGCCTTGCTTATGAACGTTTATGAGTACTACAGATTCCCGTGGGATTGAAATTTGACCCGCCCTGCGCTCAGGTGGGGGAGTTGGTGCCAGAGGAGAATTCGTCCACCAAGCGCGAGTGCGCTTCGGAGCGGGCCGGGCGGGCAGACAGACGGACGGCAACCCCATGCCCTTTGGCAACGGACCGCTCGCATGTCATTTGGGTGTTTTCTTGTTTAAAGGGTACTGTGGTGTCAAGGGAAGCCAACAGGAAAACCACCATTTTGGGGGGTACCCTCTACAAACAGACATGCGTGTTAGCGCAGCACATCTGTCAACAATTGTGAGCACATGCATCCAGCAAGCATTACATCGACCTGTTGGACAAGAAACCAGCTTCTGAAAATTCAATGGAAATTTCTATGCAGCACCTCACACTAGAGTTTTTTACCTCACCGATGATGAAGGTTTGCGTCTCTTTTTCTTTGTGTTAGTCAACAACACAAATTGGTGTTGTTTTTTGAGATCGAGCTTGGTGGTTCCCAGCAATCCGGTTCCTTAGCTTTTTAGTTGCTTTTAGTTGGTTTATTGGTTGGATTTCCGAGTTTGTCCCACAAGTTATTCACTTTGAGCGGATCAGACAACAAACAGCCAAGTGACGTGAGGAGTTTGACCTGACCTCCGCCAACGAGAGATTCGCAAAGCTCGAGAAGGACGAGACAGGCGCGGATTTCTTTTTGTTGCTGGTGCTTGCTGGTAGGGAAGTTTCTTCCAAGACTGGGTGTGGGTTGAATGAACCGGTTTGGGGATTCCCGAAAAAGGAAACCATAGGATGGATGGTTGTTCTGGGGTCATTCCATTTCTCAGTCCCTGAGAAGCAGCAAGTTTTGTAGTGGCGCGGGTGCGTCCAATTTGTTCGACTCTAAATTGGGGGGGTGTCGAATAGGTTGCTCTCCCCTTGACCCCCGAGATCTCTTGACAGGAAATAGCTTGGCATTAGTTGTTTTTGTTAGCATTTGTCTTCAAATGGATGGAATCCCAGGAATCCATGCGTCATCTTGTCGTGGTGGTTTTAACGGCCTGGGTCCCTGCCCTCGGCCGCCAATGTCGATCATGGGAGCATGGTGGCCTGAGACTTCGTGGGCAGAGCGGCCCATATTTTGAAAGCATACACAGTACTTGTCCAACCGTCCAACCCTTCCCCAAGAGGGCCTCAAAGTCAACGGGTCTTATTCTGGGAAAACAGGATGGACGGAGTGAGGAAGGGAGGGGTGGGATGCTGCAGGTGTCGACCTCAAGCCCCTGGAGGGCTATGACAAGACCAAGTCCTTCTTCGATTGCATCTCCTGCGAGGAGAGACCGTAAGCCAATGGACAGGTCACAGTTGGGGCCCGTGTTTTTTTCGGTGTTTGGACCCCAGGAGGAAACGAGCGCCCCCAGCTTTTTCGTGGAAGCTACTGAGGCCTTCCTGATTTTTGTGTGGGCACTTGCAAGGCGAATGGGAGGGACCGCGGCAGATAGCCAACTGGCAGTCACTCGTGGCAGTTGTAGGGAATTTGCACCAGGGAGTTTCTCAATAGGGGACAACTCCTCTTGCTTGCTTTTCGGTTGGTTTCCTTATGGAGGCCATTTCCGGCATTGGATGTTTCCTAGCTGGGCGACCAGTCAAATTTGGTTGGTGTTTGTTTGGTCGACCTTGAAGCACCACCCGCAAGGGGTCTCCCTATGTTCGAAACACGCAATCATTGCCAAAACGATTCTGGATAAAATATGTGGTTCCTTGATATGGTTCGGAGCTTTGGTAAAAGGCGTTTGATAGATATCACAGACTGACTTGGGTGTGGATGAAAAATAGGTACCCAACATGGAACCCTGAAAAAATGGAAGCAACTACCTATAGCCTATAACCCGCGTGTTTTTTTTTGTGATTTGACTTTGACCTGGACCCACTTGGTGGCAGAGAACAGAGACTTGTCACGCCTTCTGTGTTTCCCCTCCAGTTGCCGCAGGCCACAGAGAGGGCAGGCACGTCGGAAAGACAGAAGGCTGGAGTTGGCCGAAAAGCATTAGAATGGAAGTCGCGGTTGGAATATGTGGAGCCTTTTTTTGACACTGTACATAGTATAGCAATGTGCACTCAATGCTGGCCAGAAGCTAAACAATTTGTTAGGACTCCTCGAAGTGTCCTTTGGTGGATGTGACACACCACTTGTTGAACCCATTTAAAGTGAGTTTCCCTGTGGGGCGATGTCTAAGGGGAGAAAATCTAGGGAGCCATGTTTGTTGTTGGTGACGCATGTCAAACCCGGGATGCCGCCAATGGTTGCTGTCCCAGAAGGTGTCCCCCAGTTCCGGGGGAAAAGCTGATGGCCCCTTCTATGCGAAAGGTGGCAAATTGATGCTCTACATAGCTTCTTTGGTTAATGAATGGCTGTGTATTTGTGGCTTGCCTGGCTTGCCTGGCTTGCTAGGTTTGCGTTTGCTGGCCTTAGCTTCAAAGCCTGAAGCATCAAGTTCCATACGCAGATTGACGCGGCCAGGAAACCCGGATTTGTAGAGGAATGTGTTTGTGAGTGTGATTCTATGTTGTGTTCTTCTCGGGGTTCCATGTGAGCTGTGCAGAGTACAGTACGGGGGTCCCTGTGTCAAAAAAACACATGCGGTTTTAACCCTCACCTTTTTTGGCCCATATGTGAGTGCGAACCCTGTCCCTGGTGGATGGGGGTAACACAAATCCAATGCGCACCAGCTGAGATGGATGAACCCCCATAAATTCGGGAACAAGCCACCTATCAACTGCTGGTTTTGTCCATCAGTGTTGTGATGAACGTTGTAAAGCTTGAAACTACTCTGCCATGGCAACAGTGGTGACTCGTGGGCCTTCTTGAAGAACACAACCCTTTCCCCCTAGAATCTTGCAAGCTGTTCCTGCATCATTTGCACGGTCAAATTGCGACTCTTCGAAGGCTTCAACGGATTTTATATTTAAAAGAGGCCTGCCACACAAAACGGAGTTGGAAATTCGATTTGCGGTGACCCGCGTGGGTTTGCAGAAAATAAGTAAAAGGCATAAACTGTTGTCCTCCTGATGTACAAAGGTCTCCAGCAAACCTTTTTAAAACAGGAGGGTCACCCGTCTGCGACCTGTCACCCAACGCCCCTCCCGCACCGCAGTATGACCCACTTTGCAGTTCTTGGTTGATAAGGGGAAATTATCTCCCAGACCTCCATTGACCAATTTTCTTTTCTTAAGAGGGATGTTTACCGAAACCTGGGTGGCTCCCAGCCATCCCCTTAGCTTTTTAGCCTTTTAGTTGGTTTTTTCACTTAACCCACTCAAAGATAAACTTTTAGCGGGGGATCTGAGGGCAGCCCAGCAACAAGATACCCCTTATTTTCCCCATCGGCCATGGGGGGGGTTTGGCCACTGAGCGCTTCGGTCGTTTAGCTCGTTTACCTCTCGTGTGCCTCAGATCGACCGGGAGAAGGCCCGGGAATTCGACAAGGAGACCTTCGGCGATACGCCCGGGAGCCCGGCTGAAGGTGAATTCGGCGGAGGTCCAATGGATGGCCCCTTCATACGAAATCCATTTCGCACCACTTTGAAAACATGGGAACCCACTGTTTGTTGGTATTTACAAGGGAATCATTAGAAACCAGGGTTTCTTAGGTGGTGCGAAATGGATTTCGTCCATCCGCAGTAGCAACCGGTGGTTATCAGCCATCCGGTTAGGTTGTGCCAGCTTTTTCCCCAGATAGCTGAAAGCTATACGGGTTCTAACTTCTATTAAACCGGAAAGTGATTTGCGAAATTAACGGCTGGGTGCTAGGGGGCGTGCAGTTGGGGTGCTGGCCCAGGCTTTATGTAGGGGGCCAAGGAGCCTATGGGGGTGTTTTTTGTTGAAAGTACCCTTTTTGTGTTGATATTTAAAGGGAAACCACAAGGAAACCAGCACATATTTCGCTTCACACGTCCCAATAGGTGTCTCCATAAAGACCACACGTATTTCTACGTTTGCTCACCGGCGGGTGCATATAGTGAGCTTTTCGAGATGGGGCACCCCCCGAAACTACAAGTAAAGACATATTGCGTGTAAAAAAGAAACAAGGGCAGTTTCGGGTAGCAGAACGAAAAGGGGTTGCCTCCGTGCAGACATGCCCATACCCACCCACACTCACACGCGGAAGTGCATTGTGTTGGGATTTCATTCCTCTAAGACTCCTCGGAAATGCCAAAGGGAACCCTTGAAAGCCACCCAAGTCGCACCCGACCAAAGGCTCAGGGTTTGGTATGGGAATCTCAGTCCGTGTTGGGCCCCAGGAGCCCAAGCGAGTGATTCCCTTCTGAGTAGCCAGACTTAACTCACCTTTTTCGGCTTGTCTTTTTGCTTTTGTTTTTGTTTTGTTCTTTCTTAGATGCTAAAAACAGCAAAATATGTTTTGTTTGAAGGTCCAAGTCTGGCCAAGTGAGAAGCAAACTGACGTGAGCTCTCGCTCAGGCGCCGACCGCCGCGTCCCACTGGGGGCAAGGGGCGACGGCGACACGGCTAATGGGCCGCCCGGGTTGCCCAGATTCCAACTGAGTGCCTTACGCCAGACCTCAAATGGGGCTTTCCAAGAAACTCTCCGGAAGAACTCACGCCGAATTTCCCGGACATGGTTTCTGCCACTTGTTTGGGAGCTTCGCCATTTGTAGGTGATTCTCCTGGCCTTCAAAGGGTTCTCTTTGAAATCAACGGCAACGGCGGGGATTGCCTTTTTGTTTCCTATGGCCACTGAGGGTCTGCGGTGTGGATTGCACCCCGGTTCAATTCCCTTTTTGTTGGGGTTCCCGCTAAAATATACTAGAACTGCTTGATGCAAAAGGCACGGTTGCTGGGCAACTGGGGCAAGTTCCTGCAGGACTTTTAAGTTAGCTATAATGGTTAGTGAAAAGCTTTGCAGGGTTGGGTGGGGGGTTGCCAGAGACGGGCACTATCCACTTAGCAACATCCACCTCAAGCAAAATTTACCCTCCAGTTTTCTACACTCTCGGGGCAACCCTGGCAAGACAAATTGGATTTGAAGGCGGCAATAAGGATTATGGGTCAATGTTTGTGACCACACTGTTTTAAGGACTCGTGGTGATTAATTGAGTTTCTACTATGTAAGATATGTGTGTGTGTGTGCATACTTTATTCAGATTCTCGGCTTGAGATGCAGCACTCTCCAAGGATTGTTATGTGAACGGGCACTTTTTTAAGGAGCCTTTGTTGGTTGGGCATCGGCTAATTGTGGACCTGTGCCTTCACAGTTGTTGGTGTCCGCCTACCCGCATTCACCTCGCCACTAGATCATGTACTTCCCATGTGCTTACACCCTTACATGTTTGCTTGAGATGAAATGGTCATGCTATGGATGGACAAGATCCTGCACCAGTTGGTAGTAGCGTCCCCCAATATTTATGGGGCTTGATCCATCCCAATTAGTGCAGGATTTGGTTCATCCACAGTAGCTAGGAAGTATTTTTGTCGTTTGCGAGCACCTTTGGCATCTCGTGGAAGTCTAAGGCGTGCTGGTCAAAAGAAGCCACGCCAAAATGACATCGGAGCCGAAGGAATTGGTTTGGCGGAGAAGCGATTTGAGACCCAAGCCATTGATCCAGCGGCTCAATGTCGATGACTTAGTTCTTGACAGGGGAATGAGAAATGGAATGACACCAAGGAAAACCCATCCCTGGTGGTTCAGTTAAGGGGACCCCTGGGTTCATTCCCAAAACCCCAGGTCATTCCTCACTGAGAGCCAGCAAGATGCTATCAGTGGATGTTGACCGGTCGGCATGGAGCTTGGCCATCACACCCGGGTCTCAAACTGACAAACTCGCATCGGGGGCGAGCCTAAGCCCGCATCCAAACATGACCGGCTCCGGAAATGTGGGAGACAAACCGTGAGTTGTTTCGCCACTTGCTGTCCCTTCAGTCGATGACGTTTGGTTTGGGTGTGAGACTCTTTTAGCTGTGCCTTGCGAAGATCAAGGGACCTGAGGCTTCTCCGCTGAATTGGTTCCAACTTCATATTCGGAACGAGAAATGAGCAACGGAATTCATAGATTTACCGTCAGATGGTCAGTTGGGCACATTTGCTGGTTGAGCCGCGCCGCAAACCTTGGAAATGACAAGTAGTAAAGGAGGGGGGGGGGGTCCTGGAGAGCCCCCAAACGCCTTGAAATGCAGGCCGCCAAAGCTTGCGAAGGCTTATCGCAAAAATGCCTAAAGACGTTCCCGCTGCGAACTCCCCCAACAGCATGCATTCCAAATGGTGTGTTTCGCACAGTCCGCCGACAAAGCGACGCGAAAGCAATTCTGCAAGAAGCGAATCCGACAAAAACACAACATGTAGTCGCGAAAGCATCGCTCAATAATTTTCGGCGCCGTTCAAATGAGCACCGGCCATTTTGGTTCTGGTTCTACTACCAGTTTATAGCAAGCAAAACAAATCTGGCGTAGCCGCTTTTTCATTAAACCTACAAGATATTTGACCTTTTGCTCAGGGGGCACGAGCAATCCAGACAAAGCACACATCACAGCCACGTCGGACCTGCGAACCACGGAGGTCTCATGAAGTGATCGCGCGAGAGACAGCAGCGTGGAGTGCCTGTAGTGCAAAGAGCGAGTCAACCGACGGGTTATGTTGGCTGTGTTGCTCTTTGGCTTGACCAAAGTAATGTACAGCCGTTGCTTTGCTTGGCTTTTGGTTTGATCAAAGTATCCTACAGGGTTTGTTTTGGTAGTTTTGTTCTTTGACCAACATAGAGTACAGGTGTTTGCTTGCTCTTTGACGTAATGTACAGGTCATGTGGTGTTGGTTTGGTTGCTTGTTGGCTTGACCAACATGCTTTGCTTGTTGCTCTTTGCTCTGGCCAACGCAACATTTGGTTTGTTGCTCTTTGTTTTGACCAACAAAGCCTGTCTGTTTTGGTGCGGTTGCTCTAGTAGCCTACAGATTTTTGGTTTCGTTGCTCTTTGGTTTTTGTCCAACAACACACAACATTGTGTTTTGTTGCAAGCATGTCAATATGGCTGTGGGTCACAACCAATGATACCATTTTGGGGTAGGTGCACAACCCATTTTAGTCTATTTAGTGGTGATACAAATGTTCACTGGGGTACGGGCTTGTCCCATGTCAATATGTCTTTGCATCTTCGGGTGTTTGAACAACAGCTGCGGATCTTTGCGACTTGCGGCCAAAAAAGGCCTTGCAGGATGCCAGTGCCTTCAGATTCATGTGATGCCAGCTCGTTTACCAAGACCATCCCTTTATTAGAAAAATCCGCGGGAATCCTAAGAAATCCTCGGGCTCTCCACCACCCAGCTCTTTGTATCTGCCCCTTCTAGGGATTCCATCACGTTGGACGAAAATGAACCATTCAGTTTGTGGCTTTCTTCCGGGGGTGATTGGTTTATGTTGTTTCGTCCGATGTTGACGTGGTTGACAAATGAAGAAAATGTAATAAAGTGGCGGATCCAAGTTAATGCTGTGAGAAATCGGTGAATTCCACAGCTTTCCACACGTACCCAGCTGGGTTTATTGGGATGCCCTACTAGTAGTCAGCTTGGCCATGATTACCTTTAGTAGTGTCAGCAGAATAGCCTGCTTCTACAAAGTCACGTTTGACATTGGAGTTGATTTGCATGATCCAATCTGCTCTTAGGAGTGCGGTGAGGTAGCTCTGAAAAGGCTCACTTGAGAAGGATTGCATCTTGGGACTGGCCAGATCACAACACCAGGTGCTTGCAAAGGATTGAGCCGAACTGGGGGGGGGAGCACAGTTTGAAGCCAACATGCAGCAAATTCCCGTACCTTTATGGAGCATCAGTCAGCATAACTAGAACTTCTGCTGCATTGAAGTCATGCATGACTTTGATTTGCACTTTGGGGCTTGTTCAGAGGCTCGGATTCACGCACAGCGGGCACTTGCTGCGTGTCTCACCGTTCGCGGATTATCACAATCAAGGCAATTTTTGTCTGGACGTTTCCTGTGGTGTGGTGGCGGTGGCAGTGCTGTCGCATTGGGAGCGTGGACCCGTTCTTCGCTCCTATCTGGCAAAAGGCTTCAAGCAAGAGTCGCATTTCGAGGATTGAATTGCGGTCGCCTCACCACAGGTGTAAGCAATTGAAGCATTATCCAGGTCGCCAGTGCCCTTTTCACTTGGTGCTGAACCCGGTGCCTCTACCGAAGAGCATGTGAGCCACAATCAAAACCCGGGTAGATTAAGTTTAGTAAGGGACAATCCCAGCCATAAATGGGTGCGGATCTCCGCCTTGGTGCTTTACATGGTTCTGGGATGACCATTTTAATACCAATCGGTTTTGATGACTCAGGTGCCCTGCACTTTGTGTGTTCTTGCCACTGATGGCTTGGGATTAATCACGCGGTCACTGGGCTCTTCCGGAGCTATCGAACTTTTAACGACGGCCGTGGTTTAAGCCTGCCAACCAGAGCTCGCGATGCCGGCCACGAAAGAGAAAACAACCTATCCATCCAGCGGTAAAGACATGGCCCTTCCTTCCATTGGGCATGGCGCTACTTAATTGCCATGTGGTAAATGTCATCTGTAAACTCTTCACCCAGCCGTTACTGTGAGTGGCACGTGTTTTTCCTTGATGTTTTGGCAAGTTCACCACTGAATGTGATAAACCCCAAAAAAAGGGTTCCTTTTTGCTTCCCTTCGGGTCACTGGTTGCGACTGGGTTCCGGGGGAAGCGTTGAATCATTGGTCCTGGAGAGGGGTGTTTTTACTGTGCCTGGACAAAATCCACTTTGCAGCTGACTGGTGCGCACTTCCTTGCGGCTTTTGCGGATAGAAGCAGCTTGAGTTGGAAGCTGAAGAGATCCCTAACATGGAGCCGTGCTGGTTTGGACCATTCTTCTCAAGCGAGCCTCTGGTGTATGTCCTTTACATGCGTTACTTGGGGATCCCTTATTTGGTGTGCCTTTTTTTGGGGGACATCAAAATGGGTGGTGTTCCGTTGGTTTCCCTTTAAAACCACAAAAAGGGGATACCGGGATGCCCTCCAAAAAAGACAAACCCAAGTCAGGTTTTGGAGTTGAACCATGTGCAGAATGTTGCACAATTAAACTCATAATCGACCAACCCTCCGAATTGAACCCGAAACCCCGTGTCAACAAAAGCAACACCAAAACCAAGTGAGCGACTGCCCAATGAAAAATCGAGGTAATGACATATGGGGGGTTGAGATCACAAACAAACGCGGCGTTGGACAATACACGGTCAATGAGCCCAAACGAAGGCAGGGTCAGAGAAAAATGGTGGGAACACCCGACAATTCAATCGTGCAGCAATCAGGGCCGTTCTGTGGATGGACGATATCCTGCACTACCTAAGAAGCCCTGGAATGATTCGCTTCCCCTGTAGATATCAACAAACCTTACGGTTTCGTTCCCGTGGATTCATTTCGTGGTGCGATGTCTGGATTTCGCACCCATCCATGGCTCAAATAAGATCAAGCACGTCTTTGGGCAGTCCAGGAGCGCCCCCGGCGACCAGTT